ATAGTCTGGACTACAGTCTAGACTATAGTCTGGACTACAGTCTAGACTACAGTCTGGACTACAGTCTAGACTATAGTCTGGACTACAGTATAGACTATAGTCTGGACTACAGTCAAGACTATAGTCTGGACTACAGTCTAGACTATAGTCTCGTCTATAGTCTAGACTATAGTCTCCTCTATATTCTAGACTATAGTCTCGTCTATAGTCTAGACTATAGTCTCGTCTATAGTCTGAACTATAGTTTCGTCTTTAGTCTGGACTATAGTCTCGTCTATAGTCTGGGCTATCGTCTCGTCTATAGTCTGGAATATAGTCTGGAATATAGTCTGGACTATAGTCTGGACTATTGTCTGGACTATAGTCTGGACTATTGTCTGGACTATAGTCTGGACTATAGTCTGGACTACAGTTTGGACTATAGTTTCGTCTATAGTCTGGACTATAGTCTCGTCTTTATAGTCTGTACTATAGTATGTGCTACAGACTAGTCTATAGGTTGGACTGTAGTCTAATCTATAGGTTGGACCGTAGTCTAGTCTATTCTGTACTATAGTACAGTCTTTAATCTGTACTATAGTCTCAACTATAGTCTAGTTTATAGGCTGGACTGTGGTATAGTCTATAGTATCGACTACAGTCTAGTCTTTAGTCTGGACTGTAGTCTACTCTATAGTCTGGACTATAGTTTATTCTATATTTTTAACTTTAGTCTTGTCTATAGTCTGAACTATAGTTTATATATAGTGCAGTCTATATTCAGGACTAATATAGTTGGACTAAAGTCTACTCTATAATCTGGGGTAAAGTGTACTCAATGGTCTGGACTATAGCCTACTTTATAGTCGGTAATATAGTCTGCTCTATGGTCAAGTCAATAGTCTTTTGTATTATCTAGACTGCAGTCTAGTTTATAGTCTGAACTATATTATATATATGTATAATGTGCTTAATAACAATTAGTTACAAAAAATTTTTGAGTTTATTTTTGATATTTTGACTTAATTTATTTTTAATATTTTTTCTTAATAATATCTTATGGCAAGATATGTATGAATGTATGTGTGTTTATATATAACATTATTAACTCTTATATATTTAAAACAAATATGAAACCATATTGTATATAATTTATTAATTTCAAATTGAAATCTTTATAAATACACAGAAAAAATTAATTTAAAAAAATTTTCAATTAAACGATTAATCAAAAATTTTAAAAGGGTTCAATTCATTTTGTATTTGATTCATAAAAATGTATAATCAAATACGTATTTAACAACAACAAAAATAGAAAAAATAAAAATTTTATGTACGAAATCAATTATAAGTAGTAATTGAATATACAATTTTTGTTATAGGTTGAACTTCAAAAAATAAAATAATTGAAAACGAGGTTTTGGTAATTGAAATCGTTTTTCAGTTTTTTCTGTGTATGTTTTCTTAGGAATATAAATATTTTTTATTTTAGAAGATTAATTAAAAGTGCTTAGATAGAATATTGGAAATAATATGCAAAGTAATGTAAGGATCGAAAGGACTTCATATAACGAATTGAAATAATGTAAAGTGGCACTGAGGGTTATGAAACACGAGTGGTATTTTGTATGTGTGGTTGGATCGGAACAGTAAATTAACTGAAGATAACGGGACTTTCTAAAATAAATCATTAAAAGATTTAAAAGGGATTTTTTAGATACATTTAAACTGATACCTTATGAAGATGGAGCCATGCTTATTATGGAATCATGAAAAAATGATTTCCATAAGACGGATTTACGTAAAAGTCCATTAAGATCTCATGAGTCGCTTTCAAAATGTCTAATCCACTTCATTTAATCTTTAATTATTAAAGTATAGTATAGTTTCTTCTCGAATAATAATAATAATCTCACTTTCTAATCTATAGTCTAGTCTAATCTATAGTCTAGTCTATAATCTAGTCTATAGACTGTTCTACGGTCTAGTCTATAGTATATTCTAAAGTTTAAACTAATCTATAGTCAAGTCAATAGTCTAGTCTAAAGTCTAATCTATAGTCTAGTCTATAGTGTAGTCTATAGTCTGGTCTATAGTCTAGTTTATAGTCTAGTCTAAAGTCTAGTCAATAGTCTAGTCTATAGTCCAGTCTATAGTCTAGTCTATAGTCTAGTCTATAGTCTAGTCTATAGTCTGGTCTATAGTCTAGTTTATAGTCTAGTCTAAAGTCTAGTCAATAGTCTAGTCTATAGTCCAGTCTATAGTCTAGTCTATAGTCTAGTCTATAGTCTAGTCTATAGTCTAGTCTATAGTCTAGTCTATAGTCTAGTCTATAGTCTAGTCTATAGTCCAGTCTATAGTCTAGTCTATAGTCTAGTCTATAGTCTCGTCTATAGTCTAGTCTATAGTCTCGACTATAGTCTAGTCTATAGTCTCGTCCATAGTCTAGTCTATAGTCTAGCCTATAGTCTAGTCTAAAGTCTAGATTATAATAATAATCACACTTTCTAATCTATAGTCTAGTCTGTAGGCTAGTCTATAATCTAGTCTATAGTTTAGTCTATAGTCTAGTCTATAGTCTAGTCAATAGTCTAGTCAATAGTCTAGTCTAATCTATAGTCTAGTCTATAATCTAGTCTATAGACTATTCTATGGTCTAGTCTATAGTATATTCTAAAGTTTAAACTAATCTATAGTCTAGTCTATAGTCTAGTCAATAGTCTAGTCTAAAGTCTAGTCTAAAGTCTAGTCTATAGTCTAGTCTATAGTCTAGTCTATAGTCTAGTCAATAGTCTATAGTCTAGTCTATAGTCCAGTGTATAGTCTAGTCTATAGTCTCGTCTATAGTCTCGTCTATAGTCTCGTCTATAGTCTCGTCTATAGTCTCGTCTATAGTCTCGTCTATAGTCTCGTCTATAGTCTCGTCTATAGTCTCGTCTATAGTCTCGTCTATAGTCTCGTCTATAGTCTCGTCTATAGTTCTAGTCTATAGTCTCGTCTTAGTCTCGTCATAGTCTAGTCTATAGTCTAGTCTATAGTCTAGTCTATAGTCTAGTCTCTAGTCTAGTCTATAGTCTAGTCTATAGTCTAGTCTATAGTCTAGTCTATTAGTCTAGTCTATAGTCTAGTCTATCGTCTAGTCTATAGTCTAGTCTATAGTCTAGTCTATAGTCTAGTCTATAGTCTAGTCTATAGTCTAGTCTATAGTCTAGTCTATAGTCTAGTCTATAGTCTAGTCTATAGTCTAGTCTATAGTCTAGTCTATAGTCTAGTCTATAGTCTAGTCTATAGTCTAGTCTATAGTCTAGTCTATAGTCTAGTCTATAGTCTAGTCTATAGTCTAGTCTATAGTCTAGTCTATAGTCTAGTCTATAGTCTAGCTATAGTCTAGTCTATAGTCTAGTCTATAGTCTAGTCTATAGTCTAGTCTATAGTCTAGTCTATAGTCTAGTCTATAGTCTAGTCTATAGTCTAGTCTAGTCTAGTCTATAGTCTAGTCTATAGTCTAGTCTATAGTCTAGTCTATAGTCTAGTCTATAGTCTAGTCTATAGTCTAGTCTATAGTCTAGTCTATAGTCTAGTCTATAGTCTAGTCTATAGTCTAGTCTATAGTCTAGTCTATAGTCTAGTCTATAGTCTAGTCTATAGTCTAGTCTATAGTCTAGTCTATAGTCTAGTCTATAGTCTAGTCTATAGTCTAGTCTATAGTCTAGTCTATAGTCTAGTCTATAGTCTAGTCTATAGTCTAGTCTATAGTCTAGTCTATAGTCTAGTCTATAGTCTAGTCTATAGTCTAGTCTATAGTCTAGTCTATAGTCTAGTCTATAGTCTAGTCTATAGTCTAGTCTATAGTCTAGTCTATAGTCTAGTCTATAGTCTAGTCTATAGTCTAGTCTATAGTCTAGTCTATAGTCTAGTCTATAGTCTAGTCTATAGTCTAGTCTATGTCTAGTCTATAGTCTAGTCTATAGTCTAGTCTATAGTCTAGTCTATAGTCTAGTCTATAGTCTAGTCTATAGTCTAGTCTATAGTCTAGTCTATAGTCTAGTCTATAGTCTAGTCTATAGTCTAGTCTATAGTCTAGTCTATAGTCTAGTCTATAGTCTAGTCTATAGTCTAGTCTATAGTCTAGTCTATAGTCTAGTCTATAGTGTAGTCTATAGTATAGTCTGTAATCTAGTCTGTAATCTAGTCTATAGTCTAGTCTATAGTATTTCTTTAAAAAACCTTTTAACCAGTTTTCTTTTTCGGAAATATTTGCCGAAATAATCAAAATCACACACCATTAGAGGCGGTATTAACAGTGGTATCATTAGTCAGCTCAGCGCCTCCTACTTTAGTTTCTATTTTCTCCGGAATATGTTGTATATCATCTTCAGCAAAATTTTTGGAATTTTTCTTGGCAGCTTTAGAAGGTTAGGTACATCAGCATTAGTTGGTCTTTCTGAAGTTGTAGGATTAGGCTGATTATTGTTGTGTACTTGGGCCACAACTTGTACCAATTGATCGGATTTATTCTCCTTTTCTTTATGCTCTTCCTCACCTGGTTCTAGTTCTTTGGCTAGAGTTTCACTGCGTTTAAAAGGGCGTCGGCGGCCATTACCCGTACTGGTAGAGGGCAACAGAATAGTCTATAGTCTAGTCTATAGTCTAGTCTATAGTCTAGTCTATAGTCTAGTCTATAGTCTAGTCTATAGTCTAGTCTATAGTCTAGTCTATAGTCTAGTCTATAGTCTAGTCTATAGTCTAGTCTATAGTCTAGTCTATAGTCTAGTCTATAGTCTAGTCTATAGTCTAGTCTATAGTCTAGTCTATAGTCTAGTCTATAGTCTAGTCTATAGTCTAGTCTATAGTCTAGTCTATAGTCTAGTCTATAGTCTAGTCTATAGTCTAGTCTATAGTCTAGTCTATAGTCTAGTCTATAGTCTAGTCTATAGTCTAGTCTATAGTCTAGTCTATAGTCTAGTCTATAGTCTAGTCTATAGTCTAGTCTATAGTGTAGTCTATAGTATAGTCTGTAATCTAGTCTGTAATCTAGTCTATAGTCTAGTCTATAGTATTTCTTTAAAAAACCTTTTAACCAGTTTTCTTTTTCGGAAATATTTGCCGAAATAATCAAAATCACACACCATTAGAGGCGGTATTAACAGTGGTATCATTAGTCAGCTCAGCGCCTCCTACTTTAGTTTCTATTTTCTCCGGAATATGTTGTATATCATCTTCAGCAAAATTTTTGGAATTTTTCTTGGCAGCTTTAGAATGTTTAGGTACATCAGCATTAGTTGGTCTTTCTGAAGTTGTAGGATTAGGCTGATTATTGTTGTGTACTTGGGCCACAACTTGTACCAATTGATCGGATTTATTCTCCTTTTCTTTATGCTCTTCCTCACCTGGTTCTAGTTCTTTGGCTAGAGTTTCACTGCGTTTAAAAGGGCGTCGGCGGCCATTACCCGTACTGGTAGAGGGCAACAGATCTTCCTCATTTAGTTGTTCCGTTTTAATTTTAGTTTTATTACTTATATTACCCTCATCCATGGACTCTATACGATCTAGATTATTGGGCACAGTGAACTCATGCGAGGATTCCACCTTGTTAAGAGGAGTTTTAGTTTTGTGACCATTTTTCTTATTTGTGGGCACATCATCTAGATTTAGTTTTTGCATTTCATGCATTTGTCTCTGTTCCTCATCGATGTGCACTAGCATAAAGGGTAATTTGAGGGATAATTCCCCTCCCATTCCCGATAAAGTTAGTTTTACTTTAACATAATAGGATACATATATAGCAAAGACATTACGCTCATCGTGTGTGGAATTGCCAGTGTTTCCAGCGGATCCTACTTGAGTAGCAGGCATAAATACCGGCGGACTGGTACAAAAACTTGGCGACGGGTTGACTTGCATGAGATAATGAGGAGTGCGTACGGCCGATGCAGCTATCGAAGCATTTATTTCATCTGGTTCAGTACTTCTTTGTAGTGTATCCTCGAGAGCAATCCAATTTTTAGTGGGTCCTCTTTGAGGTTTCAAAATGACGGTGGTATTGAGGGTGGCTCCTGGAGCCACATGATGATCTATGGGTGGTGGAGATATGTTATCAGAATCGGCTACTACATTCTTGAACTTGCCATTGTTAAACATACAGACATCGACATGTTGTATGGCGCAGACCTGGAAGGAGGTAAAGAAAGAGCGATTTGAAAAAAAGATCTAAATTTAGAAATAAAAAAGATTCAGAGTATAGTTTCAGGTACACAGTGTTTCTACGATTTGTGACATATTTTTAGGGATATCTGATTCTAAAATGTTCATGAGATTTCCAAATGTATTCTCTTTTTTCACTAATATTTATCAATTCAAATTGTTGTTTATTTAAATTATTTATAGTCTACTTTTCAGCTTAACGAATTATCCAAATATTCTTGCATACTTAAAGGGAAAGAAATTGATTATATTTTTTTTCTCTAAAATGATTTTACGATTTTCTGCCTTTTAAATAGTAGTTATTTCTTTACAGTCATAACATTTGACGTAAGTTGTTTTCATTTTTTCTCCCATGTTGTCTTGCTTTAGCGCTTTCTTTATGTATTTTTTCCCCACTTATTTCAATATATTGTATTTTATTTATGATGTTGTTGAGGGTTTCATTTGTATATTGTGTAGTTTATGTTAACATTGAGTTTATTGCATTTTATCATGATTCGATTCGATTGGATTCTATTCTATTTACAAGTACTTCCGGCGAAAAAAAGAAATAAATAAAGTAAAATCATAATAATAAATAAGATGAGAAAAAAAGAAGAAAAAATCAAATCGTAAATGGTTTATTGTGTTACAAAAAGCTAAAAGCCCAGCAAAATGTTTAGAGTATGGTTATTATATGACTAGATTATAACTAGACTATGCCTAGACTATGACTAGACTATGACTAGACTATGACTAGACTATGACTAGACTATGACTAGACTATGACTAGACTATGACTATGGACTAGACTATGACTAGACTATGACTAGACTATGACTAGACTATGACTAGACTATGACTAGACTATGACTAGACTATGACTAGACTATGACTAGACTATGACTAGACTATGACTAGACTATGACTAGACTATGACTAGACTATGACTAGACTATGACTAGACTATGACTAGACTATGACTAGACTATGACTAGACTATGACTAGACTATGACTAGACTATGACTAGACTATGACTAGACTATGACTAGACTATGACTAGACTATGACTAGACTATGACTAGACTATGACTAGACTATGACTAGACTATGACTAGACTATGACTAGACTATGACTAGACTATGACTAGACTATGACTAGACTATGACTAGACTATGACTAGACTATGACTAGACTATGACTAGACTATGACTAGACTATGACTAGACTATGACTAGACTATGACTAGACTATGACTAGACTATGACTAGACTATGACTAGACTATGACTAGACTATGACTAGACTATGACTAGACTATGACTAGACTATGACTAGACTATGACTAGACTATGACTAGACTATGACTAGACTATGACTAGACTATGACTAGACTATGACTAGACTATGACTAGACTATAGATTAAAGTATAGACTAGACTATAGATGAAACTATAGACTAGGTTCAGGACTAGACTATAGACTAGACTATAGACTAGACTATAGACTAGACTATAGACTAGACTATAGACTAGACTATAGACTAGACTATAGACTAGACTATAGACTAGACTATAGACTAGACTATAGACTAGACTATAGACTAGACTATAGACTAGACTATAGACTAGACTATAGACTATAGACTAGACTATAGACTAGACTATAGACTAGACTACTATAGACTAGACTATAGACTAGACTATAGACTAGACTATAGACTAGACTATAGACTAGACTATAGACTAGACTATAGACTAGACTATAGACTAGACTATAGACTAGACTATAGACTAATAGACTAGACTATAGACAGACTATAGACTAGACTATAGACTAGACTATAGACTAGACTATAGACTAGACTATAGACTAGACTATAGACTAGACTATAGACTAAGACTATAGACTATAGACTAGACTATAGACTAGACTATAGACTAGACTATAGACTAGACTATAGACTATAGACTAAGACTATATATAGATATAGACCTAGACTATAGACTGTATACTACCTATAGACTAGACTATAGACTAGACTATAAACTATACTATAGACTATACTATAGACTAGACTATAGACTAGATTATAGACTAGACTATAGACTAGACTATAGACTAGACTATAGACTAGACTATAGACTGACTATAGACTAGACTATAGACTAGACTATATACTAGACTATAGACTAGACTATAGACTAGACTATAGACTAGACTATAGACTAGACTATAGACTAGACTATAGACTAGACTATAGACTAGACTATAGACTAGACTATAGACTAGACTATAGACTAGACTATAGACTAGACTATAGACTAGACTATAGACTAGACTATAGACTAGACTATAGACTAGACTATAGACTTGACTATAGACTAGACTATAGACTAGACTATAGACTAGACCATAGACTAGACTATAGATTAGACTATGGACTAGACTATAGACTAGACTATAGACTAGACTATAGACTAGACTATAGACTAGACTATAGATTAGACTATTAACTAGACTATAGACTAGACTATAGACTAGACTATAGACTAGACTATAGACTAGACTATAGACTAGACTATAGACTAGACTATAGACTAGACTATAGATTAGACTATTAACTAGACTATAGACTAGACTATAGACTAGACTATAGACTAGACTATAGACTTAGACTATAGACTAGACTATAGACTAGACTATAGACTAGACCATAGACTAGACTATAGATTAGACTATGGACTAGACTATAGACTAGACTATAGACTAGACTATAGACTAGACTATAGACTAGACTATTAACTAGACTATAGACTAGACTATAGACTAGACTATAGATTAGACTATTAACTAGACTATAGACTAGACTATAGACTAGACTATAGACTAGACTATAGACTAGACTATAGACTAGACTATAGACTTGACTATAGACTAGACTATAGACTAGACTATAGACTTGACTATAGACTAGACTATAGATTAGACTATGGACTAGACTATAGACTAGACTATAGACTAGACTATAGACTAGACTATTAACTAGACTATAGACTAGACTATAGACTAGACTATAGATTAGACTATTAACTAGACTATAGACTAGACTATAGACTAGACCATAGACTAGACTATAGATTAGACTATGGACTAGACTATAGACTTGACTATAGACTAGACTATAGACTAGACTATAGACTAGACTATTAACTAGACTATAGACTAGACTATAGACTAGACTATAGATTAGACTATAGATTAGACTATTAACTAGACTATAGACTAGACTATACACTAGACTATAGACTAGACTATAGACTAGACTATAGACTAGACTATAGACTAGACTATAGACTAGACTATAGACTTGACTATAGACTAGACTATAGACTAGACTATAGATTAGACTATTAACTAGACTATAGACTAGACTATAGACTAGACTATTAACTAGACTATAGACTAGACTATAGACTAGACTATAGACTAGACTATAGAATAGACTATAGACTAGACTATAGACTAGACTATAGACTAGACTATAGACTAGACTATTAACTAGACTATAGACTAGACTATGGACTATACTATAGACTAGACTATAGACTATACTATAGACTAGACTATAGACTAGACTATAGACTAAACTATAGACTAGACTATAGACTAGACTATAGACTATACTATAGACTAGACTATAGACTAAACTATAGACTAGGCTATAGACTAGACTATAGATTATTCGGTTAATGTACTATATTTGATGTTAGGAAAAAATGTAATGTTAAGGTAAATTATGTAAAATGGAACCAAACACATACCTAGCAACAGTTTTCTTTAATCTAAAATTTCAGTTCCTTATAATTTTGATTTGCAAATAATATTCTTGTCTTTTACTCCAATTCATTTGTTGACTCTTTTTTTCTACTTTGTTATTTCATCCACAATTGTTGCTGGGTGTTTGATTACATTCTTTACATAAACTCTTACATACCAATATACATATTCATACATATAAATCACACCACAATAAAAATTGTACCATAAATCCGATTACAATTCATTTCATTTCTTTTTTCAGGTTCTTTTGATATTGCGTTGATGACAACGATGACTACGATGACGATGATCATTATGATGATTGTAGGAATATAAAGAAAAATAATAATAATATAAAAACCCTTAGGAAGACATTTTATTTATAATAACACAAGTGCTAGATGTATTGGAAAAAAAAGAAATGATTACATTGCCAAGGTTACAACAGAAGTAGTTTGAGTTACTTGAGCTGTTAGTAGATAAAAAGCAAATTTAAAAAAAAAATAAAAATATATATATTAAAGAAAATAAGTCTGGCATACTTTAAGGCTTTGCTGGTTGTTCCCTTTTGTTGTTTGGTTGAAGAAAAAAGGTCAACGATTTTTAAATAATTTTAAATATTTATTTATTTCTGTTTAACACACACAAAAGAAACCATTTAGGGGTATTTGAAATGAAGCATGAGCCTTTTTTCAAGGTTAAATGCATAATTTATGGCGGGCGGTATTCTGTTTCTTGAAGACGCCTTTTGACACCTTTTAGAGGTTGGAGCAATTTTTGGTTTATTTATTAAGTTTTTATTACGATTAATACTTGTTATGAAATATTTATTACTTGGTTAAATATTCTCTATTAATGTTATTGATTTATTTTAACTGCCTGAAGCTAGGCAATAGTTTTATAGGCAATAAGTTGTAGACAACAATAAAAGTATATTAATAAATACTTCGATGAGGAACTAACCAACTAACTAACTAACTAACTAACAAACTAACTAACTAACTAACTAACTAACTAACTAACTAACTAACTAACTAACTAACTAACTAACTAACTAACTAACTAACTAACTAACTAACTAACTAACTAACTAACTAACTAACTAACTACTAACTAACTAACTAACTAACTAACTACTAACTAACTACTAACTAACTAACTAACT